GTACTAGAAGTAAAGCCTGTTTACTCACAACTGTGATTCTGAAGAACAATCTTAAATTGACTTAGAATGTAATAACTCATTTGTGAACTTCTGTAATTCCCTTTTCCCAAAAAACAAGTAGTGCTGTGCAAATGGTAACGCTCTGGTTTTCTCCATACTTAAAAAGAAAAACAAGGAGACAAAGTCAGCTATTTAGCTGGCATTGAAAAGTGGGGGACCAGACTGCACTCCTTAAAAGACACATTCAGGTGTGACTTTGATAATTAAAATCACCAACCAGGTAGACTTATACCTTTGCAACATGAATCCATTGATGATGGATGAATCCATTTGATAAAATATATGTTTAAATGCATGCATATTAGAAATAATAATTCATATGCCAGCATTTTTGTATGAGAGTCTTTTGGAATTCAAATAATTTACATTATGCTGAGATGCATATAGAACATCTATAACAAATAGACTAATAATAAATGAACATTTTTATAAAAATGATTCCAAGTTCTTTCACATTTCTGTTCAGTATCAAGCAGTGTATTGAAAATGCATTTTTCATAAATGCGTTTTTCATAAAAGCACATGCAAGACTTTGTGATGGTGAAAAAAATCACCTCACAACAGCCACATGTCTAGGCAAATCCTTAGGAGGTGGTATGGACCTCACACAGACATTCCAGAAGACATTACTAGAATGTAGTTTCTCTTGAAAGAAAGTAGAATATGTGTGAGCCTACTAGGCCACTTTGATAAATAAATAAAAGTGTTTCTCTGTTCTAGCAAAAAACTGGTTCAACGGGAGGGCAAGTTAAATCCAGATTCGTATTTTACTTAGTTGTTTTCTTTCCCTTTTTTTTAAGTGATCCCTTAGTTTGTTGTTGTTGCTGGTGATTTCTTTCTTAAGACAAAGAAGCATTTAGCTTTGGGTTATCTGAATTTTACCTTCTGGCTTTACAGAGTATCTCTGTGAAACTCCTTTCTAAAACAAAATTCAGTGTCTCAGGATTATCAGTGTACTACTTTAGCTATGGTTTTCTTTCAAAATTTATTTGAAATTATATGGTTAACCAATACAGCATTCCTCTGAACAATCTGAAATTAGTGCAAACCTGACTTACTTAGATCAAATAGAATTGTCAGGTGTTTTATCTAAAGAACTTGTTGAGACTGCAACTACATTTAACTATACTCAAACTGTATTTTTCTATCTCAAATGCTTTAGTTATTTCTTTGAAAGACACCATGTGCTGCCTTTAGTACTTAGACTAAATTTAATCATCTATATCAAGCCTAAATTTGGGCTAAAGCAATGCATGAGTTTTTGTAATGCTGCTCTCCTCTTGCCGTGCCTCGGAGTCAGAAGCTTGTGTGCCTCCCTTTTGGCACTTCTGGTACTCACACCCCAAGTGCAGCTGAGCTGGCTTTGGCTGCCTTGTAGTCAGTCACAATGCTAGTGTCAGAACCGGGCATTGACTAAACCAGGATTTAGGTAATGGTAGCTACCTATCTATCGGTTAATTTTTAAGTAAACTGATGCAACCTGTGTGGACGATTTTCACTTGCTATGTTTATTATGTTCTGAAGGAAGTTTGCCTCTGTATTTCCTCCTCATTCTATTTTTACTGCATGGAATCAACCAAGCCTTAGTTACTTGAATTTCTTCTCAACTTTAAAAAGAAACCCCTAATAAAAGTAAAGTTCTAAAAGCAGTACTTTCACTGGAAAAGCTAAAATAGCAGTTTTGTGTAAATTTTGGACGCATTCCTTCACACCTAAGAAGACAGGGAGAAGAAATACAAGCATATTTACAGGGATTTATACAATTTTCTAAGCAAGAAAAAAATCCATAGGAGTCCAATAGTTTGTTGCATTCTAAGGTTGATTTTCAATTTGAGCCAAAACTTTCTCCAGCATGTCTTTCATTTCAAATAAGATAACCTGGCCTGTCTTGTACCTATACCGTTCTAGAGCCAATTGGTACATTCAGAGCTTTTCTGTGCTCCTCAGAGCTACTGAATGCATCCCCTTTCCATAGCAATACCAAGTATGCATTCTGTCATTTTAGTTTTAGTTCTCCTGTGCAAACCGTAGTCAGTCACTTAACTTGTTCGATGTTACCACTGATACAAGAAATCAATTTGTAGCTTGACTTTGTAATTCACAGCACTGACTTTCATTCCTCAGGGCGTAATATCTCCACTTGGGAAGGAGTCAAATTTTGAAGTATGGGTCTTACTTTTAGGTTACATTTCCCTATCTCATCCCCTTACACAAAAAGGTTAAGTGTCTTTTCAAATTAAGGCAGCAGTAATTAACCAGTGGCATTGTTTGTGGTTTGCCAACTCTGGGCGTTAATGAGAGAGAAATTAGCACTTAGCAGCAGGAGTTCCTGATAGTGGCAAATGCTTAATGTGCCAACAACTTAATTTTGGTCTTAAGTACTGCACTTAAGTGCAGCAAACAAAAGTATGGCACGGGTTTTTATGTGCTTATACACATGAGCTTTATGATATAGAGCTATAACAGAACGAATGACACAACAGAGTTGAAAAAGTGCAACCTAGGCAACACAGGGCAAACAGCTTTGCTGTAACACCACAGTCAGAAGCAGGATTGATGGATGTTTTCATGCCAAAGATGTACTTGCTCCTGCCATTAACAGTCTGCAGATGTTCTTGTCTATAATTTTATTATCATATTTTCAAATTATCAAATTCTGAACATAATTTTTAAGTACCTCAAAAAGTGTGCTTGAGCTGAGGTGATTTGCTCACAAGACATAAATTAGCCTTTTCAGGTGTCTTGAAATAGTAACTTTAATTAAAATTACAGTTTCAAAAAATAACTAAACAAATTACTTAAGCACAGTGCCACATTCATTTTATGGTGGATGGGGGATTCAGACTGCCACAAACTGAAATGAGCCCTTCAGAACTTGGGTGAGCAGCTGCTCATTAGCATCAGGGTTTTACCTGGCACATGTGCTCATAATGAGTAACTACTTGCATACATTTTGTACCTTCTGCCTTGCACAAAATAGCCCATTAGAAATGTAAGGTCTGCTCCCTATTTTCTGGGGATTTTTGCTTTTAAAATAATTTTGGTTAGTATGTAAGTACATCCCCACCCAATTACCCATTTCTGTATTTGCTTGATGTTGGAACAGATGCATAGTCTGTGAAGTAACAGAAGTGGGGGCCCCTCCTGGATCAGCAAACCGGTGCTGTCTCTCACCAGAGGCTGTGAGCATCAGTCCTTGGCTTCACTTGCCTTGGCTCCTCGCTGCTGCTTGGGTCTCCAGGCTTGTGGGCATAGTGAGGTTCTGCACATTTTGGCCCCTCAAGAAGCTTAAGCAAAGGACAGTGGAAAGAAACCCATAGAAGCTGAAGTTGTTGGCCAGCCAGACAAAATTAGGAATTGGGTATAGGCAGCATTGTTCTTTATAGTAACCACTTTTTAGTCTGTACTGTATTTATTGCCAGACGTGTTTGGATATGTTACTAGTACAACCAGATGTGTCAGAGTTTTAACCTTTCAACTTTCGAATATCACCTTTCAGTTGCAAAAAGCGTATTTGCCAGTGTGGCCTCATCTATGCTGAGGGTAATTTACTCTGCCACTGAACTGTGGCCACTTGGAGGTTGAAGAGTAGTAGCCATAGACCAAAATGTTACAATGCTCTGCAGAAGTTTCAGGCAAAAGAGTACCGCATCTAATTGAAACTGCAGGAGGAAGCCACAGGGGTTTCTTCATCCTTTGATGCCTATTCCATTACAGGAGCACATCAAATAGAGTTTTCTCTGCATTGTTGGAAAGAAACCACCCTCATGAAGCCAGTCTGGCACTACCCATGGCCTTGAGTGCATTTACTGTGTGCTCAGTGGACATTTAGGTTACCATGCCTCTCCAGAACACATATTTATTATAATTAAACGTTAACAAAAATTGGCTACCATATTGCTTGAGTCCTGAGTACAACTCTGCATATAAACCATTACATGACATTCTATTGAACTTTTTCTTGTACAGACGGTACCTAACAGCTCATCCTGCACTGTTGGTTTTGGCAAGTTCACTGCAGCATATAATAAATCAAGGGAAGAAAAAGCTTTTTGGCCTAATGTTGTACAGACTGCTGTAATGTTAGACTACAGAAAGCAGTTCTGTTTTTAGACATCCTTTTACTAACCCAACATTCATAATTTATGATTCCACTGTAAAATTCCTGCAACACTACACCAGAAGTAGTGCTGCCCTTTAATTAAGTGCTCTCAGTAGGAAAAACGTGAAACTGATGTGCAAAACATATCGCAGTACACAGTGATTGATAGTGATTACTTCTTTATGAACCCAGCCTGAAGGTCTGAACTTCCTGATGGGTAAAATAGTCCATGGGGCTACTTCCTGAGATTGCCTAGTGGGGATCAGTCAGAGTTAGCAATATCTGAGGAATTCCTGAGGCACATTTCAGAGCCATTACAACACAAACTTTCTGTTTCTTCTGAATTGTGCTTTATGTTAATAATTACCTGAATAATAGCTCATTGTAGAGATTATACTTTAAGGATTCATTGTTATCTTCATGGTATTGTAATTTGAGTGAACTGGGACATGTGTAAACCCTTGTGTCTTCCATGTCTGCACACACAATTCTGAAAGAGCAGGGTGTATGTCAAAAGAAGTTTCTCTATATATTGCAGTTACTGAATGTTGCATAGTATTTAATACATAGGTATTTCTTACTGACACATGCAGAATATTCAAAAGAAACTGAAACTGATGTAGATTCTATGAGTCTCTAAATAGCATTTTTATTCATGGAATCAGGTATTATTGACATCGATCAATTGCACATTCAAAATTTGAAAATTAAATGGAGGTTAAAGACTCCCTCCAATTTTGCAGTGGAGTTACAAGATTTGTGTTGGAATCACAGAGATGGGAAACTGAAATTCCCCTAACAAAGTTACATAAGTTCATTTTTCTTTTTCGTTTGATAGATTTGGCCCTGGATTAGTCATCTACTGGTACGGATTTATTGAAGAGCTGGACTGCCATCGTGAACGTGGCATCCTGCTAAAAGACTGCTTCCCTACTGACATTGTGACTCTGCGCCACAGCATGGCTCAGCGCTGATGTTGGGAGGAAGAGGTAAATCCGGAAGCAATTTTACTTTCCTGCAGTGTAAACTAATGGCAGCATCTGCCCTGAACTTCAGCTGAACTCCTGCTGCCCGCCCTTATGCTACTGCTGCTTTACACAAACATATCAAGAGTTTCTGTTTTGCTTCAGACCTCTGTTGTGATCAGCCAAAAAAGACAGACACAACCCACTCGTTATCAGCAGTTCTGTCTCTGTCAAACAGCTAGTTTCGAGATACTCATAATCTTCCTTCCTTCCGGATGGCTTCTTCAAGCATTCTAAACAAAGACAAAAATGCAGAGGCTGAAAGGCGGAGCTTTCAATTCTTATGCCTGTTACAGTCACCTGTAAAATTAAGTGTTTTTTATGAATTCACTATGTGCTAGTGATGTGACTAAAACACCTACAGTGATGTGGAGATTTGGTGAAAACTGTTGTTTTGGGGCTTAAAATAATATAATGCAAAGCTGGTAAAGCCCAAGTGGTAAGAGGATCATGGCTGTTACAGTAAATAGCCAGATTCTGAGATAATAATTGGTGTATGTGTTTTGTCACTATCTGATTGTTAAAATCAACAATCCCAAGTTAACAGTTAAAAAATGGTTAGGGGATTTTGAGAGGGGGTGAAAGTGAAGAGCACAAGTTTTGTTTTATTTATATAAGCCTGTGAAGTTTGGGGGTAGTGTGGGGGAGGTTTAGTAGGTATTTTAATGACTCAAAAATACCTTGTGTTTTGTCTTTTTCTCTCCCTCACCCCCAGGGAATCTATACCTAGGAATTTTTCTCTTAACTGACTAAGGAAGGAATCTGTCTTTACTCCTATAGGTACTGAGCAAATTTCTGGCACATTGAAGTCCAAAAGAACAACGTGCAGGAGCTTTCTATGTGAGTTATTTCTGAAGGATTTCACCATCCTGGTATTCAAGAAGGGGAATTTTAAAAAAATGATAAAACAGTGCTTCATACTGGATCAGTTTCACAAGACAAATAAAGCACACAAATGGACAGAAGTTTCCTGTGTACTTGTTTCCTTGCAAGAGCCTTGTTTTTCTCTTCTTAGAACCACCAAGATCAGAAGTTCATTGAGGTGGGTGTTAGCCCTTCTTGAAGCTTTGGGTTCAATCTCTTCTTTTTCCATCCACATTGCCACTCAGAAGGGAAAGACTGGGTCTCAGGTTTGTGCTCTCAGATGTTTTTAATGAGACAGTGGCATATTGGGCTTGACACACTTCAGTACTCTTTTCTTTGCTAACTATTACACAAGAAAGGACAAAATATTTTAAAATGTCAGTGTGAGATTTGCCTGTATGCTCATCATGTTCAGATTTTCTGAGAAAAGCTATGGATTCTGTTGTAGAAATTAAGGTCTGATAACAGTCTCCCTAAAGCACAAGTTGATGATCTTTTCCAGAAAGAAAGGGTCTGTAAAACATTACAGTGCATATTCATCACCTTTTTTTAGTTGAAAGTTTAGTGATACTTTGTGCGCCTGTATGTTTTTCAAAAATCATGTGCAGACTTTTTACAGTCTTGCCTCAAGTGGAAAGGATATTAAAACTACTATCCAGGAGTTTTCCAGCTGTAGTTTTTGGATGTATACACAGTATTTTTTAATTTTTAGTTTTCACCTTAACACTTTCTGGTAAGTTTCAGACAGGAGTTTATCATTTTGACAAATCTTTTATTTTCGAGGAAGAATATCTTTAATTTTCTGGTGTCCCTTGCTGCAGAGACAAACTAGTATAGCTTTACTATAGTGAGTTATTTTTGTATAGACATACTTTCCTGGGTTTGAATATGTTGTAGTGAAGAGATTTATTTTTAAGAAATATTCAAACACCTGTAACTCATTTGCATTCAAATATTTAAGGTATTGTGCTGAGCTTATTTTACCTGACCAGCTGTAAGGATCTGCCCATAAAGATACACAAAAGCAATCTGTGAATGTACCTGCACGATGCTACACACAAGCTACATTTAGGGTGTTAATTCCCCTGGGACTTTTAACTATGGTTTAGGTTAGGAGAATGTGTAAAATCAAGAAGGGAATAAAAAAGAAGAAATAACTGAACATTATCATAGTGGGAAATTCAGAAGTAATGGTTGTCTGAGTGAAATGGGTTTTAAAGGCAAATAGAATTTGTTTTAGCTACTGCATATGCTTTCTGTTGTATGAAATCATTTAAATCAGCTTTTACATGATACACTAATGCTGCTTTTTTCTTTTTGAATAAATTAAATTTATCTGCACAGATGTTGAAAATTCTGCTAATCTTCATCAAAGCTTTGCTTTATTTGTTTTTACATTAAACAAATTTATGTGGAGACACAGAGATAAATCAGTTTAGGCTTATATTTGTTTATTTATTCTTCTACCTAATGCTGTGACATAACAGGTTGGAAAGCAGTACAGCTGTCTTTAATCAGAGCTTTGAACTCATCTTCATATTCTGCCCACTTAAAGAATCTGTATTAAAATGAGAATGAAATTAGCCACAGAAGTCTATATACTGTACCAATTTCATTGCATGCTATCAAAAAAGCTTTGCTACTACAAAAACTATGCTGTGTCACTATTTTAAATGCTGAAAGCAAAACATAAAAAATTAGCACTGTTTTGTTATTACTACTTGTGTACTGCAAAAAAAAACAAAACTAATTTGGCTATTTTCTTTCTTTATCAGATGTAAACATCAATTTTAATATTAAAGAGGAGGGACACAAACCACTGTTTGTTTATGTCTTTTTTCTTGGTTTGGTTTTGTTAAACAATGTTGTGGCCATTAGAACCTTAACATTAAAACCAAATTCAGTTTTATGGAGTATTCTGTAGAGTGTGCTAATGAATTATGCCAAGCCAGAAAACAGAAGTGAACATAAAACTGAATGATGTTCTCACTGGCATATATAGACTTGCAAGCATCTGCTCTTACAACCACTGTTATAAGGCCTGTTCTGAGCTTTAGGAATTGATGTGATTGTATTGAGCAGGGAAGCAAGACTTCCTTGTGAAGGAGGAACAGCACGATGGTGGGTTGCACACTCTAGTATAGGAAGAGAATGGAGGTTTTCTCATTCCTATATTCTGGGGACACATTATTAGTATGAGTTTAATAATATTTCCCTGAAGACAGTTCAGAGCAGAAAGGTTTTGTCTGAAGCTGAAGAAAAGGGACCAAATGTCTTACAGTGCTTACTTCATAACATTAATACTACTGGTAGTTCATCAATAGTGTTCATCCTGTTGTATTTGCACATTCACAAAGTCATTCTTCCCTGGTGTTGGCTTTTGGATTTCTCCATCATCTGTACTACTGCCAAAGACTATTAAAGCCTCTTTCCATTTTCTGATCCTCCCCTTTTAATTTTTCATCTTATATTAACAACTTTCACTTTTATTTATTCAGTAGCCTCCCATTTGCTCATGTGTCCTGTTAGAAAATTTTTCTACCATGTCTTCTACCACCTGGTTCTGTTTGTTACTACTTCTGAAAGGTGCTGTTTCCATTTCTGTATACATTTGAACTGACCAACCATCTAAAGCAATTTTGCTCTTACTCTAATTTAAACAGCAGCTCTAGATTCCAGGGAGACTGTCCTCAGATTTCCACATGGCTTTGTAATGAGGAACCATTGTGTTGCTCTTCATACTCTCAGTATGAAACATAGGTCATTTCTGCAGGCTGGGAGTACTCACCAAACAGAGCACACTTAGTGCAGAATAATCACTCGCTCCTCAGTTGAGAGTACAGTTGTACAAAGGACTAAGTTAGTTCCTCTGTGCTACTAGAAAATAGGCAAAAGAAAATACTAGGAATTCAACTGTTAAAGCATCTCTTTCATTAAGGAGCCTTGCCTTCTGTGAGTTCATGCCTTGCTTGTGCAGTACTTCCCTAGGGAGATCTGTTGAAGTTAAAGGTTTAGCTTTCCTCCTGTTCCAAACTCTACTTGCTTCAGAGTGGAAAAGATGGCTTTCTCCGCATTTCCACATCACATTCAATCTGGCAAGAGCTTGTACATCCTACAGGGTGTTGTTATTTACCAGAGTTGGTAACAGCTCCTCAAGGGTCAACAAAAAGTGCACAAAATTTAACTTGATTCTTGGTGTTGCTTCATCTGATGAAGTCTTACAATAGATAGCTTCTTCTACAGGAATCTTCTGCTGTTTGATGGTGAATAGTGAGCTAGGGTAACAGTTGTTAGAAACATGGGTTTGTTATTTCAAGGAAGAGATAAATTACATTAGAACAAATGCTGCTCAAGTATTGATTTAATATTACAGAATAAAATGGGAAGCTGCTTGCAAAAACAACAATAAAAAATTCCTCCTATCATGTTATTCTAAGTCACAAAGGGCCATTTGTTGTGGATTTGCAGGTTATTCAGAAATAACCTTTTTATTACATTGACAAAAGAAGAAACCTCAAGAGCTTGCTCTTTACAGTGTTGTGATAGAAACCTAAAGTGTGCCTGTTGAAAAATGAACTAGCTAACAATGGGAGCTTGGCAGCAACTTCACCATTTATAGAGAAACCGTCTATCTAGTAGGATCTGTATAAAATAGGCCTCACTTAGGTTAGGGAAAGGTCACAAGTTACACAAAGTTTGGATAGTCTAAATGCGTTACTCAAAACTGACTCTCCTGTGTACAGTAAATATTAATTGAACCTGTATTATTAAAAACATGCCAGGATTCAAAAGATTAAATAAGGAAGATGTAATTATGAGCTACATAATAAACAGAGCAGATTTAGTTCCCCTTGTATTTTTTACTTTCCTGCTATTGTTTCATATATGGCTGTTATACAAAGAGCAGCTGAGGTCAGCTACTATAAATTATGGGTTTCATACAATAGTAATCTACCAAAATTATTCCAGAGCTGGATCAAAGAGCTTCAAAAGACTTTTCCAAAACTTTTCCACATAATAAAAAGACTCTATTTTGATGCCCTGTTTTTATGAGGATTTCTTGGTTTAGATTTGCATCTTAGAGTATTCAACTACTTGCATTGATATGATGATATTTGAACACACAGGATCTGCATAATTAGTTTGCAGTCTCATATTAGCATAAAGTGATAATATAAAAAAAAAACCTCTTTAAATGCATTACCTGGTGCATTTTTCAGGCTAAGTTTTTAAGTTGATCTAAGTAATAAAAAATTTTTGTTTCTGTGTTTATTTAAGGAAGCCAGCAAGATTTCAACTGAAATTTTCTATTTCTTCTGTTTACAAATAAAGAAATCATATTTGCAATGGTAACAATTATTAAAAATTATAGCAGTAATTCTTAGTAGCTCCCAGCTGGCATCATGTCCCTGCATAAGATGCCAGCCTGCCCTCGCTTCTGGCCAGGCTTTCACCTAATGTGAAGAACCACATGTCATCTGCACAGATCCATAGATGTGGCACTGCCATGTCAGCGCAAAATGAAATGTCAGTGCAAGCGTATGGAGACGAAGTAACAACATTGAAACCATGTCAGTGCATATCTACAGAGACCACGTTACTCTGTCAGTGTGATTTTAGGAAGATCACTTTGAAATGTTAAAATGAAACGAAACTAAGTCAATTAGGTAATAACAATTGAGGTTCAGGGATTAATTGAGGGCCTAAGGTGAAGCCAGTGGCCATTAACCCCAGCTAGTTATTAATTTTAGAGAAATAGAGAAATATCCTTGGCTAAGGTTATTGTCATTATTATAAGAGAGTTGGGGGGTTTATTCCCTGTATTGTATTTTGCTATTGCTTTTAATAGTGATCCACAAAGAGTGGTGTTAAAGGGCAGTTAAAGGCATATTAGTGCAAAGTTAAAGTTTTTTAGAAAGTGAATCTACCCAATAGCAGACAAACTCTTCTTTTTTATACAGACATTTAACAGATTCATACCGATGTCCAGCTGTCTGTAAACAGACAGATTTACTATAATGTATTTACCTCTGAGGACTTGTCGAAGGAAAATAATATGAACATGCTGAAATACTCATTTACACAGCAACAACTATTTGAT